ATTACATTTTAAAAATATTATACAGTTGAAAACGAAACATACTGAATGTTTGGAAGGGTAAGAGTAATACGGTTTACACTATTGTAAAAACATAAAAATTATCATACCTAAAAACAGGCACAGGATATGACTGTGCAGGACAAAATATCGCTGTACTCGTAAAAGCTGATACTTGCATCATTTTAAAACGTTCCAAAAAATTAATTTTTGGAGCTACACTGCCAACAGGCTCTATGAGTAAAAGAAATAATATTTTCCAATGTATACATTACTACGATTATTTTAAACCACCTAACGTTGGGATAACAATCTACAATTAAATGATATATTTATTAACCTAAAAGTTGGCTTTGGATATGCTTGAGCTGGACATAATAAACTTAAGCCATTAGTTTTCCGACTTTTTACATGCTTTAAGTCATCACCAGAACTTATTTTTGGACTGACACTGCCGACAGGTTCTGGAAGTTATAAAAAATAGATTCAAACTAACAGTCTTAAACTATTTTTATTAAACGTTGAGAAAGTGTTGCCGTAATGATAGTTTAGAAGATATGTTGTTTATAGGTTGACATGAGCGATATAGTAAATAGTATATAGGATTTCGCAAATACTTATTTTGTGAGATTATGGTAAACTATTGAAATTAGAAAAGTTTAATAATACCTGTAGACTGGTGTGGGATACGATTGTGCAGGACATAACAAGTTTAAACTGAAAGTACTTTTGGCTTTGATGTGCTTAAAATCATCACCAGCGTTAATTTTTGGACTTACACTTCCAACCGGCTCTAAAAACATACGTTACGCTACTATATACTTTATAACTCAATTAAGACTTTCAAAAAAAAACTGCCTAATATGTTAGGAATTAACTGAGAACTCATACTTAAAATTTGTTTTTTATTAATGATCAGAATGATTAATATATTTTTGATCACTTACGTAAAGCGTATGTAAAAAAATTATATTATATTTTATTATTAAACCAGACACAAAAATATACTAATTACCGCAGGGCAAAGCAATGTTACACTATATTCTCTACGTACTTTTATAGTACGTGAGTCATCTCCTGATGTAAGTTTAGGACCAACGCTACCCACAGGTTCTTCATGTAAACAAAAATATAATGAATGATAATTAGACTTCGGTAGAAAAGTTACAAAAACTAATCTTAAATTCCTATCTATTTTTCTATTTATATAGCATGCATATATATATATTTATATATGAAAACCGCTGAAATTCTAGGATACGCTCTTAATTTACCTATAAAATGGTACCGGATATGCTTGAGCAGGGCATAATAGTGTAGCACTAAAGTTTGTAGCTACTTTAGGTATTTTGATAGCATCATCTCCGGCGGTCATTTTTGGACTTACACTGCCGACAGGCTCTTAAATATAGCGCAAGTAATTTTATTCATTTTGAAAACGTATTTTAAATTGAATATACAGCCTTGTTGGGATTTTTACTGTTCAATCGTATGTATTTATCACAATATATTACTAATTTTTATCAGTGTTTACCTATAAATTGGAACCGGGTAGGCCTGAGCAGGACATAGTAATGTTACACTGTGATTGCGCATTATACGCATAATTTTTATATTTTCTTCATTAGCATTTATTTTGGGACTGACACTTCCTACTGGCTCTATGCAAAAGACATAAAAAAATATTTTCTGCTATGTGTATGTGAAAATTTAATACAAAGAATGTTGGGAAGGAACCGCTATTGCATTAAAGACTTTATACAAATCCATCAATTGAAAATATGTATTGTTTACCTAAAGAATGGTACCGGATATGCTTGTGCTGGACAAAGCAAAGTTGCACTCATATTAAAATGAACTTTTACAATTCTGGATTCATCACCACTAGTCAGTTTTGGACTAACACTACCAACTGGTTCTGCACATAGAGTGAAGTTTTTAATTAGAATGAATATAATGGAATAGAAAACTCCTTTCATTGAATGTTGGAATAGGATTATTAGGTTCTGAAAATTGTGCGAATGATAATTAATCAAAGATTTATATTCCATTATTTGCGGTTTGGAGAACTCTATCCGCACACCTATGAGAATAATTAATCTATTTTATTCTAAAAAAATCTATAACTATTATATTGTATACTATGTACACGTTATTAATAATATTTTTCGAAAATTTTATTTTCTTTCTAGGTAATGTATATGATTTAATCGATTGATTTAATATATTTAATTAATTTTGTATAACTGCTTTTGCCAAATGTTTCTAATAAAATAGAGACGAATTATTTCGCAATTACTAAGAAGTTTCAATTAAAATTAGAATCTGGTTTAATATCACTGTTAAGAAATATTATAAGAAATTTATAAGGCTTACCTGAAGAATGGTACTGGATATGCTTGGGCAGGGCACAATAGTGTGACCGGTAAAGTTAAACCAAAATCTAAAACTTTAATATCATTTCCAGTAAGTAAACGTGGTGCAACGCTTCCAACAGGTTCTAACAATACACAAAATAAGACTCATTGGTGGAAAATTCTTAACAATGCAATCTATTTTAAACAAACTTGAAATTTAAGTAAGAAATTGGCTGCATGAAGTGGAGATTGTTAAGGGATACAAATTGTCTTTAACATGTGGAGTCGAAATATCATAAATAACCAAGTCACTCACATCATTCGCTAAAACTTTAGATTAGATATAAAATAATGTAATTTAAAAACCTACCTAAACATAGGTGAGGGAAATGCCTGCGCAGGACATAATAGTGTTAAACTATGATCAGCCATTGCTGTGAAACTACTGCTGGTTTGGAGGGTAGGAAATCTTGGAGAAACCCTACCAACCGGTTCTGCAAATTACATATGTCATTTTCAACAGTTAATTATTCAAATTAGAAGTAAAATCAATATTTATATTTTATTTAAAATATGAAATATTTATATGTAAAACTAACTTACCTTAAAAATAAAAGTTTGTAGGATAAGGACTTTTACTTATTAAAAGATATTAACAATGAATAATCTATTCAGAAAAACATAAAAATGCGCTCCATTTACTCAAGCTCAAGTCAAGCATTATTATTAAATATGTGTGTTTCAAATTTTTAAAAATCACAATTTAATTTCAACAAATTTAATTTTAACAAATTTAATTTTAACAAATTTAATTTTAACGTTAATTCAAAATATTTATCATTTTTAACAATTTGTTATTACCGATTTTATCGCGATCATTAGGGTACCCTATCCCAACATTCAGGCAGTTTTCAATTTAGGCTAAGGAACAACAATTTTTTGATCCCGCGTTATTAAATGAAATTAAATTATTTATATTAAAAATAATTAATTATAAAAACTCATTTTTAGGATTTATTTTTTATTAAAACAAATTAAAAGGGAAGCGCTTATTGCAAAGAAAAAGATTTTAAGCTAAAAATCTTTTTGATTGCTTTAGATGAATAAAATTTTTAATCAAAATATTGTTGTTAAATTTATTGCATATATCTTACAAACTAATATATATAATAACTGTAACTTTTAAGCATATTATATTTCATTATTTTTTTTTTAAATTGAAATAAAATTTTTTTATGAACGGTTTATAATATGCTTAAAATTAAATATAAGACATGTTTTAAAAAATAAATAATTTTATAATTTTTTTTTAATTTTATTACTTTTTCAAATTACTTTAAAAAGTAATTCTTTGGTGTTTAAGAAAATTTTTTTGAAATTAATATTTATTTAAAACATATCTTCTCCGAAAAGTATTTTTAAGCCATTACAATTTCATAGTATAAATTTAAGTATTAATTAAATAATTCTTGAAATATGTAGATTTGTAGAAAAATACGCCTCATTTATATGACTGTCAATTGGTTTATATAAGAGAAAGATTGGATAGCTTTAAGAGTTTACTAGATGTAATATTTCAAATCAATAAACCATCAATCTATATTGTGCAGACGGACTTCAATTTTGAAACAAAATTAATCTATATAATCTAAACAGAAACAGAAAACTTAATTGTTACAGATTTGTTTCTAAAATTTTTTTAAGTGGTAAATTCATAGCAATGGACATACATATACTTGCTATCATATTGTAAACTAAGTCTGTTAATGCAAGTAATTGATTATGTATATATAAATTGGATTTAAAAAGATATTTCGTTTTTATAATGGCATTAAATATACTTTTCCAGTGTATTGAAAATACTACAAATATGTGTCAATGATACCAAAAACAACTTATTTTATTAATTTTTTAAATATTTTTTTACAACTTTACTACTTTAATATTATCATTTTTATTTTCGAAATCATAATATGTAAAAAACATTTTTAGTTGTTTTTGCTAACATATTATATATAATGGAATTTCCCTCTTTAATGGTAAAATTAATTTCGTTTTATAAAACCTCTACATACTCTGTCAACCTTGATTTTTATTCTCCTTTCTGAGACTATCTATTGATATTGATATTTTATTGTTTTTTAAATTTTCTTGAACTAATAAATAAGCTCTGGTTTAATATACTTTCAAAGAAAATACCTAAGTATAATAATATTTTTGAAAACTTTAATTAAAAGCTAATAATAATTACTGAATTTTGCTTTAAATTAAAAAATTAATACATTTTGGGAGTAAAAATGGTTTTAAGTATTTCTTACGCGTATTAAATTAAAAAGCGTATTCTCTATTGTCTTGATATATTATGTACTATATACTTAAAACATGTATACTATAATTTACATGTAAACAAATTCTTACAACTTAGTTGACTTAGGGAAGTTCCATTATAATTACTAAAATTTAATTTTATATATAACAAAAAATTAAAATTTCAATATCTCCAAATATTGTTAATAATATAAACATTAAAAATTAAGAAAACGTTTATATTATCAACAATTTATAAGATTAAAATTTATACTTTTGTTAACATAACTTATGAACATAACATACAAAAAAATTAGAAACATTTAACTGTGTACTTACCTGTAATAACGAGACGTCCTTTAGTAGCACTCAATCTTGTTTCTCCAGTTAAACGATGTTTTGTACGACATTGATAGCTTTTATATCCATCCTCAGGTCCTACTTCGCGAATGTGCAATTCTCCAGAAGGCAATACTAAATATTTACCATCTGCAGAGGTAAGCATGTAGCATTTGTAGTAAAATTGAGACAAAAAATTAAAAAAAATTAATTAGTTATGAAAATATTTTTTTATAAAATGTTTTTAATAATATGAATCGAAAAAAAAAATTTCAATAAACGTTAATTTTGAAAACTAATAAACTTTTCTATAAAAAATTTTTAAAATGAATATTTTCGCAATTATTGAAATTTCTTTTTTCTAAGTCTTACTTATATAATATAGCAAAATAAATATACAAACTACACTGTAAAATATTGAATGCAATATGTGATATCATGTCATTTGTTAAAGTGCTTTTTTTGAAATAAAGTTAAAAAAAGAAATACAAGCCTTAATTTTAAATTTCATTTTTAGGTTTTAATTACTTGTATTTAATATAGTTACTAATTTTTTTGAATTTATTACAGAAGTTAGTTTTTTACAGTGTAGTTGAGCTTATAATTAACCATGCATACATACATATATAATTCAAAAATGCTTATTAATTAATTGTGATATAAAATGAGGTGTAAAATGCTACAATTTAATTAAAATAAATAAACATACGCAATTATCTCATGAAGTATTTTTTATATTAAGATATTAATATGAACAATGATTTTTATTAATTATAATTGCAAATTATTGATTTTTTTTTAAATTTAGTAACAAATATCATATAAAAATATTTATAGATAAATGAATCTATAAATATAGATTGTAGCATTATTACACGACATTTACTATTAACAATAAATATGTATATATAAAATTATTATTATAAAAAGCAATACATTCTAGAAGTATTTCAATATATCACCAATTAAGAATTTGAAAAAAATCTTCTCTAATAATAAATATTATTTACAACTCTGTATTTTTATTAAATGAAATTAAAAGCGAAAATTTAAAATTTTTAATAATAAATATACTGCAAGGTAAATAGCAGTACGCCAATACTCGTATACCATCGTATCTCGATATAAATTTCAAGATTCCACACCAATAATAACAGGTGCAACTATAAAGAATTTGATCATACCTAATTACAGCTCTATGATAATTAATTATAGTTTCTTTTTAAAATATGTGATATTCAAACATTTTATTATTTGTACAAATAATAGACGTTACTAAGGATATACAGCACAAAATATACTATACTAGAATTCTGAGAAGTTCTCTCTTATTCAGTCATTTTACATTGTGTTTAATAGCATTTTATTATAGTCAACAAATATTTTTCCAACTAATTTCAGAATATATATGTATATATATTTTCACTCATTTTTTTTTTCTGAATTTAAGTTATTTCTAGTAAATTTTTAGGGTGAAAATTTGAATCAAAATCTGATTTATTTGATTATATTTTATCTGTGACTCTAAGAAGTTATTCTCTATTCAATTGTTTATAAAATCGCCACTGCATTCAACATTGTAACCGCCTAGTTATAAAGCATCCTGTCCTCTTCAAAATTAAAAAAAATGTTCAATCAATGTGAAGTCTTTTAACTTCACATTTGCTGATTTTACTGACAATATCTTTCTTAATTATTACAAAATTTTATTTCATTTTTAAGTAGAATTTTTCAGATCGCATTGAAAAATATCTAAATTGTATTGCTTTTTAAAAAAAAGGAAATTATTTTCATATAATATTTTTTTAATTTCTTCAAAAACAATTTTTGTTGTATTAGAAAATAAAGTAGAAAATAATTCCCTTTTAAACTTAAATCTGACATGCGGAACAATAATGCTAATATCTTTATGCTTTGAAATTATGTACAAGACTATTAGTTGTGACTTAATTTATTAGCATTATTGTTAATTTATTATTTAATATATACACCATATACAAGCTCTACATGAAGGGGGATATATGGTAATTGGCAAGCTGGAATGGCTTATGGATATTATAGGCGCATAGGAGTTATGTGGGAAAGGAAAAAAAAACAAAAAAAAACAAAAAAGAAATTAAAAAGTTAAAACGAAAAAAGAAGACGAATTGATAGGAAAAATAATAAAAATAAGAAGAAAAATATAAATAAAAAAATAATTGACCTAAACACTTCCTAACGCCCTTAAGAAAATTTTTTAATAATTGTTTAAATTGTAAATAATAAATAAATCAAAATAAAGCTTCAAACGTCATATTTAATAACTCTTCGCCTAAACGACCCAAACAAACTTAAGTGATTAGGGGTGGATTCTGAACCTATAAATTTTAAAAATTTTGGAACAGCAAACACATTTAAAAATATTGTATATAAAAGTAAGTTTATGAGAAAGTTTATGGTAAAGCAATTACCGCTTTGAAAATGTCCATTTTCATTAGTGGCGTAAATTTCATTTTCCTCATCATCAACCCACGATGCAACTGATATGAAATCTGCTACAAAACTGGGTATATGACATTTAAGGATGGCACTATTGCCACGTAAAACTGCCTCATCCATGACGTTAACCGTATAAGCTTGTGGTACAACTGTGTTAGTATATTTATGGAAGAAATAAAATAAACAAAAAATATAGCATTAAATAAAAAAAACAATTGAGGAGACAAGAGAATATGATTAAATAAGGAAAAATATCACAATAAAGTTCAAAAGCAAAATATAATTAAGAATACCTCCCCCTTCATTTAACTCAAACTAATTCACTTTATCACTAATATGTTAATATCTTCTTAGTACCAGTGCTGTTTTGTGTATGAATGCCGCCTTCTGTATCAATCCAATCTATAATATCAATGTGGTCTGCCACAAAAGAAGGTGTCTGACATTTGAATATAGCAGCGTTGCCTCTAATGACATACTCATCGTAGACTTGAGATTCAAAAAATTGTTTAACAACTACAAAAATAAAACAGATAGAAGGGGTATTAATATACAAGTTTAAAACAATTAAGTTTAAATCAAAGAACTATTAACTTTTTATTCGTGAAACAGGTTTTAAGTGGAACTCTGAACTGCTTATGCTTCTAATTAAAAAATGTTTAATTTATTCAAAACTATTACAATAATAAGACCTGACGTATTGTTATAAATATTGAAAAATATTCAACAAATTAAATAAAATACAACAAGATTTGGTTGTAAGTCAAAAGAAGAGTTGAAGGAATGTCTAAATAACTTAAATAGATTTAAATTTTATAATTACTTCATATAGTTAAAATTTATACATTGATTTACCAATCGATTCGTTATCTTTTGGCTTATATATCTCAACACCCTCTTCATCTATCCAGGCTTCCACATCAATAAAATCAGCTACAAATGAAGGTACTAAGCATTTTAATGTGGCTGCATTGCCACGTAAAACAAATTCGTCTATTACACGGGTCTGATAAAATTGATGAACAACTAATATTTTAAATTAAAAATAAAATTTTAAAATAAATTTTAAATTTTAAATTTAAAAGAAATATTTAAAATTGTTTTTAGGAGTTGAATTATTCACAAAAGTTAAACAGCGCAACAGCGTTCTTCAGACATGCCAAGTTAGACAGAATATAAAATACCAATTTCTTTATCATTTGGATGATAATTGCGACCCTCAGAATCCATCCATAAATCAACATACACGAAATCCGCCACATAGGAAGGTATTTCACATTTCATAACTACAGAATTTCCACGAATGACATATTCATTGTCTGCTTCAGATTCATAGGATTGTATCACAACTACGTAACAAACAGAAAATGAAAAACATAGAAAATGAAACACTTTCTTTTAGTCAAGGAAAAGGAATATAAGGAAGTGGAGACAGTAAGGTTGGAACATTAATAACTTCTGACAAAAAAAAACACTTTTTAATACCATAAGCGTTTGTAGAGTTACTACGCCACAGCTCTACACCCTCTTCATCAACCCAAGCTTCTATTTGCACAAAATCAGCCACAAAAGAAGGAATTTTACATTTTAGAACTGCAGAATTGCCCTTAATAACGTATTCATTCTCTGCTTCAGTTATGTAGAATTGCGAAACAACTATATTATAAACGGAAAGTATAAGAATTTGGATGTAAATTCAAAAAAAATAAAATAAAATTAATTAGATTTGGGAATATTTTGACTTTGGAACTACTACACTGCTAATAAATAACACTTAATAATAAATATGAATGCCATCGCACCATAATTTTCAGAAAAATTTAAAATAGTGCCCTCTTCATCTATCCAGGATTCAACGCGTACAAAATCGGCAACAAAAGATGGAATAGAACACTTTAGAACTGCAGAATTTCCTTTTATGACATATTCATTCATAATTTCTGCTTCATAAAACTGATTAACAACTGTAATATATGACAAGTTCTATATGTTAACATAATCAGAAAAATATAAATAAATCTTTAGTTATATAGAAATAATTAGCAAGGACTAAACAAATTAACTTCCCTTTAAGAAATTTACTCAAGACTCTTTAAACTACAAAATTAAATTAAAATAAATTTATATATTTTATACAGGAACATTATGGAATGGAAACAGTTAATAAACAGTTATACTTTATTGCAATTAGAGGATTTAAAAAGAAAACAATAACTAATCGAACCATAATTATCAGAATGCTTTAACTCTGTGCCCTCTTCATCGATCCAAGACTCTACACGCACAAAATCTGCCACAAATGATGGAATAGAACACTTTAAAACAGCTGCATTACCCTTTATAACATATTCCATCAATATATCAGCTCCATAAAATTGATTAACAACTAAAAATTTATTTAATTAAAATATTTTTTAACTGATTATAAATATTTAAATTTTAAGAAAAGTGATAGGATATGGAACAATTTAAACTAACTTTACGCCATTTTTGTGTGTATTATAAACTTTACGATTTATACTTATACTTAAACTAACTATATACCAAAATCTTCAGCTGGTAAAAACTCTGATCCATCACTAGCTAACCAAGCTTCAACCTTCACAAAGTCGGCAACAAAACTTGGTATCGTACACTTTAAAACTGCTGTATTACCCCTAATCACATATTCGGAAACAACCTCAGCTTCGTAGTATTGATTAACAACTGGAATATGGTTTAAAAATTAAAAAAATATGATATGATATGGATAAAGTATGATAAAATAAATGGAAAGGATTGTGTAGAAGCAAGAAACCACACTCAAAGTACAAAATGTTTTTAAGACGAATTAGTTTGAATACCGGTACTCTGCTGTTCACCCAACGTTGCATACAGTGTTCCAGTCTCGTCTTGCCAGGATATAACTTGAACAAAATCAGCGACAAACGATGGTATGGAACACTTAAGTACAGCAGCATTACCTCTAATGACATACTCATTATTTACTTCCGATTCATAAAACTGTTGAACGACTGTAATGAAGTGAAAGAGGTGTGAGGAAATGAGCCAAAATTTTAAGTTACCAAAAAAAAAAAAAGAACAGGAAACGAAAAAAAAATTGTGGTACCACAAATTAGTTCAGATATTTGTAAAATGCACTTTAAAGCAATTATTTGTCACCTCTTCAGTAGATTTATTAACCACAGTATATTTAATGGCAGTAACTTTAATCACATTGTTCCTCGGCCAACTTTACATGCTTCGAACGCGTGTGAAGAATGCACTGAAGCGTGCTCGTGTGATTCTAGCGGCTAGACTCTAGCCGCCATCAAACTAACATGTACCGCAGTAATGAAAGTGTCTTGAACACCCAGGCATGAAAGAAATTCTAATTGATAAAAAAATTTCAGTAATCACTGCAATTATAAACATTCTACGAAATTGTGTCTAAGCATTTTAACATAAAAGTAATTATTGCTCACACAACGCAACTTCAATTGAGTAATTGCATAAATATTTATAAACAAAATATATGTAAAAGACGATAATTATGATGCAACACGAAACTTCCCTGAGAGCACTCTTGCAAACTGCACTTTTAAAGACTATTTTACTTATGGTGGGAAAATTTGAAATTTAATTATATTTTTATTTAACGCCAATTATAAAGAAGGTAGAAGTAGCTGTAAACTTACTTAATGGGAGTTGAAGATTTCTTAAGATCTAAAATGGTAAAGGGTAACGAATTAGCAATAGAATAGAAGTCGTCTCATTCTGGCTTAAAAAAATTTAATAAAATGCTTTAAGAGATTAAATTTAAGTAATTTTGTTAAATGATATGAAAACGAATAGTATTTTTGTGTGATTTGAAAAACTTAAATGAAAATAAAATGAAAATGCACAAAATGATTTTTTATAAATAAATAAATAGATTAAATTAGAATAAAAAAATGCTATTTATAAATCAATAAAAATCTATAGGAAACAAATTTGAAATTTTGAGATTCATATTCTAAGGGAATTATATAGTGGCTATAGCGGTATAGCATAAGTAGGACTAAGTATAATGATATAAAAGTGAATAAAAGGAGTGAATAATAGTGTAAGTGATGGTGGAAGCATATATCAGTTACTTGAGACTAGTGGGATGGGTATATTGTAAGGGTAATATCAGACAGAAGAGTCTTAGCAATATATATTATTACAAATGTACTGTTGTCAGTTGCGTTAATTTTTATTATTTTTTGTCTTTTAGCAGAAATTTTTTCTTATGACTATTCTGCGGTTTCATTGTAGACACTACTTGTTATATATATATTTTTTTGGTTTTTTAGTGATATTGGTGTGCACTTGCGCTCTCTAAGCGTTAATTACATGTATAAGTTAGGCGAAGGAATAAGGAATAATGGCTTAATAACTTTACTACACGTAGTGGAAAATTTTTTCAATAATTTTGGTTCAAATTTTTTATTTTAGTGTCAGTTGTGGTACAGAATGCATTCTGTGGCGTACCAAACAATAATCACAGGTACACTTCCCTATTGAAAAGATCATGTAACAATAAGTTACAATACTCGTACTATATGATTATATTAAAAGAAAAATTTAAAAGGGAAATTTAAATGAATCAAAACAAATAAAAATTGTGTTTGGGTATTAAATAAATATGGGATAGAAAATAAAATACATAATGCAAAATAAGAATGGGAGTTTTGATATTGCATAAGGATAATTTATGCTTAATTTACATCTATAATATATAATGTAAAACTTATACTCTTTTAAGTTTCATTTGAAGATAAGTGGACAAACCATATTCAGTCCCAGGTATATAGTTTTCATTTGCATCTGTGTGCCAAGAAACTACACTAACAAAATCAGCAACAAATGATGGAATTTCGCATTTCAGTACGGCAGCATTGCCGCGTATTACATAGGCTTTATTAACATCGATATCGTAATACTGGGCGACAACTAGGAAAATGGATCGAAAATAGTAATAAATGAAAATAAATGAAAAATGATTTGTCAAACTTTAGAATCAACTTCCCACTTTTTGTTTTATATGAACGAATAAAAAGAGAATAAACAATGAATATTAAACTAAAAGCAAGGACATGGAACAACTGAGGTGGCACAATTATTTGTTCTTCATATACATGTATTT